CCCGTGCGTCATTAAGCAAAAATCGACTGCCCATCGCATCGCACTGTGTCGGAAGACTGGTCTTGCTGAAACGCAGTGCCCGTACGGCGAAACGATCGCCCTTTCGACCGTGCCGGTGCCGATTGTATTTCATCCTTGCATTGCGTGTAGTGCAGCTACAAGGTGCTTTCAAATGTCTGACTAGCTGCCCGTGCATTGATGCTCGAAAATCGTTCGGCGCTGCTGATGCTTCCTTCCATATCCTGCGCATGGGTGGGGTTGTCGCGGCCCTTTAGGCACTTCCTCCTTTGTTCACGAATGTTCCAACCTAATCTACGTTTCATTTCAGTACAACTTATGTTAGGGCTACTTGTAGATGCTTATCACACCTTGGTGCCCCATTTTAATTTTGATCATGTGCGAGGTGTACCTTTGAGGCGGGTCCCAAAGATGATAACATGAGCGTACTCTAAAATTGCATGGTCTGATTAAAAAAATATACAACGTTTGTTTCAAACTGCGAGGTATATTTAAAAGTTTCTCCGTATAACACACAGCTCACTTGGCCTGGATACAGTTTTATCTATGTGATTGTTCCTAAAAAAAATGAACACCGTGATACTTATATATTTTCGACGCGTTTAAATAAGTCTTTAGTTCATACATATTCGCCGAATCAGTGGATCGAGAAAAAACAAGCAAAAAACGCATGCACTTACACTTTTTCATGTTTAATTTAAGGTCATTTTCCAATGATCACACACGGGACTCTAAGCTGGACACTCAGTGAGAAAGTCTGCGAGAATTCTGAGCGCTGCGATTGGCCAGCGCCACGGTCAAGCGCGGCGCTGGCCAATCTAAGCGCTCAGAAATCTTGCCAACATTCTTGTCGAATGTCCAGCTTGGGGCCCAGTCGTGGAGCACTTCTAGGTCGCTCTGCAGAGCGCGGGCTTCCGCGCGCGTCATCTTCGATGTCCTAATCTAATCTCTGAGACGAGGACAATAAAATATCGGACAAGACGGAACAAAATCTTAAACGCAGCTGAGTTTACTCGCAAGGGAAGATTGCTGGTCTTTTGGGAATAATTTATAAACTCAGCCGAGGTTTGGGGATTTTATGTCGTCTTGTCTGCTACGTTATTTCTTCTTGTTTCGGGGTTTAGATTATGGTGTTTCTTAACCAGCTGCCCTGCATACTTCGCTCGTTGCAAGGCTTCAATGTTTCTGTTTTATGTAATCTCTGTTCTAGTGATGGGCGCAAGATACCAAATCGTGGACGAGCAAGTTGGTAAAATAACCCAAGTATACTCTTGGGAGACGCCCAGCCTCTGAAATATACTCGTATAAGTAGGCTTCCGTGTTTTTGGTGTGTACCGATAAGCCCCAAATAATAACCGCCGAGCCGGTTTTACGAATATAGAGGAAACCGAAAAACCCCGAATTGGACGTTATTGAAAGTATAAAGAAAATAATGGACTAGGAGTATAAACACAAGATTCGTCCTTGTGTTTACTTTTAATAACGTCTAATGGCAGCCAACGTGCTCGCCTTCTACTTAGCACAAATGAAAGCTGCCATTAAATTATTAAAAAAAAAAACACTTTGTGGGAAGTCTTTATCTGGAGCCTAGAAACTCTCTGTGTAGCTTTTTGTTTTATATGTGTATCCGCGTGTGCGTGTTCACCTAGAACACAGCCCCACTGAACTGTCTGCGAGGCTGCTTTTTTAGGGGAGGAAACCGGGCCCCGTATCTTATTTCTCTTTTTCTTGTCGGTACCTTCCCTGAAGTTTGGGGAATCGCATGCCCCTGTACTACTTTCTCCAACATAAACACCGATTTTCTACCTAACACCTAAGATTTACACCGAAAAACACCAAATCTATCGGGGAAAAAGAAAGCCCGCAATTTGAAGAAGCTTTTTGAAGACACGGAACCCTAAATATATCCAGAGCGGCACTTTCTTTTTACAAGTTATAGTTTTGCATAGCCCTCCCCCCCCCTCCCCCCCCCCCCCCCCCCGCCCCGCCCCTCCCATCTCCTCCCTCCTTTTTCCAAGAACCTGCATGCATTATCGATGCCCTTTTTTTTTTCAAATACCTTTTTAGCAGTGGATCCGCGATATCTACGGCAGCTCGGCGCCTGGCCGCAGACCGCTACACTGAGCTCCGCGGGTACGGCGACGGCCGTTGCCCCCATGTTGTGTGTAGCAGTCTGGAAGCCCGTAGATGCGTGCACCGCGGTATCCGTACGCGTGCGCAGTTCGAAGCCGGCGCCCCAAGCCCAGTCGCACGCGGGGGCGTCTCGCATTGATGCTTCTCCGGAGCGCACCTACGCGTTAGGGGAAACCCTTCCACGTCGGTCGTTGGCCGCGAGCCCAGCTCTCGTGCACCTCTGCGCGATCACGATGCATAGAGCGTCGACTGCTTACTGTCGGATATAATTGATCAGGTGCGACCGGTCTTTTCGGGGATTGTAGCTATAGCCATCGGGATCTAGTAGTAGCGACCAAAGGCACACGTCGTATTCTCCCCCATTTTTTTAGCGAACATTTAGGAAACGTTTACTGTACTACGGTGATTAGAAAAGAAAAGGGTAGCTCATTTATGTCCCTTTGGGCCCTGGGGACGACTAGAACGCCTCTGGAACATTTCTCCAGTTTAAAAAGGAAAACGTTTTTCTTTTTAATTGTAACAATATTTCCTTCTTTTTTTTTTTTTTACGAGAAATCTTTAAACTTTTTTGCACATTTCAGCCTTTTATGTTACCAATATAGACCGACACGCAGGCTTGGCGTCACGGATCTGCGGCGGCGCTGCGATCGCGCCGGAGCCGGGTTGTGTGGGCAAAAGGGCGCAGGTTTCGCATGGGCGTCATAGCATTTCAGCATGCCGCGAAGCTGTGTTGCCCTTAATTGAACCGAAATGTACAAGAAAAGCAGCGGAATGAGTTTCCACAAGTTCCCGGCAGACTCTGAAAGCCATAGAAGGTGGATAATATCCGTGGATCGAAAAGAATGGCCGCATCGCACGAACGACCGTTTGTGCGGCAAGCACTTTCTTGAAGGCAAGTGCGGCAAGCACTTTCTTGGAGGCAAGTGCGGCTTCCATTTCGATCTCCGTCCCGAGGCTTGCTTATGTGCAGGGAAACCGTTGTCTGATCGAGACCACCCGGATTTTGTTCCCACGGTGTTCGCGCACAAAGCACTGGCCAAGCGCTCGTCGGGGGCTCGCTGCGCCCGTGCTACCCAGCAGAAGGGGATCGGCGACAGAACGACAGTTTTGTAGGCGTGACCGAAAAAAAGTAACGAAATACGTTACTCGTTACTTGCAAATAAAAGGTACGCGTTACTGAGCTACGTTGCCTAAAAATAAAGGAACGCGTTATCGCTACGATAAAAAGTAACGCACGTTATTTCTGCGTTACTTTTTAAATTATGATTTGACACGTTTTACGGTTTTGACGATACAGGTGTGCATAAGTTCATATATCAAGAAAAATTATGTTCATGCAGAAACTTAACATAATTACCTTATTGCTTTTTACGGTTTCACCTAAATACTCACGAGAAAAAACGCAAAGAAGAGCATGGCTTGACGCCTAAAAACACGGAAAAAATTTAAGTGTAATTTCTTTAAGACTTGGGAAGTAGTAACGAGTAACGTAACTACGTTACTTGAAATAGTAACGTCAGTACGTTACCCGTTACTCTGTCGAAAAAGTAACGAGTAGGTTACTACGTTACTGAAAAAAGTAACGCGTTCCTGGTGACGCTGTTACTTGTAACGTGTTATACCGCCAAGACTGCAGAACGGACAAAGCGTTACTGCTTGTCATGCCTTGCGGTCATGATGGTAGGAAAAATATCGTACTTTGACTTGAAGACGCTGTGTGTATTTATTTAATTATTAAATACAATTCCGTTGACCCACAGTCTGCTGATCCCGCCACCAGTGCGGAAACCGACCAGAAGTAATCGTAGGCCTCGAGAGACTTGTACGCCTGCACCGTGTCGGCCGTGAACTGGCTTGGCGAAAAAACTAAATAAACGACGACGTGAGCCGTCAACTTCGGTGACAGCAACTTCCTGTCGGAAGTCCAGCTGGCCTTGTTTACAGCGTACGGATCCTCGTAGGCAACGCCGTCCACGCCCAGTTTGTTTCGATACCGCTGCCGTTTATGCTCGGGTAGCCAGCTTAAATTGTCGGGCATAGCATACGACATACGTTGTCAAGAAATACGACACACAAATAAAGCTAGAAGCGTCCCTACAACGTCAACAACGAGCGCACGTCACAACGCAATGGCGAAAACACGGAGAGCCGGGCCGCCTTTGCCCACATAGCTACCGCGCATGCGCGGCCTTCCGGCCGTGTTGGTAAACACAGCCGGGCCACGTGTAGGTCTATAGATGTATATAGTGACTGCACGAAATGATTGGTTTATTTGTGACTCTAAAATTTCCTCAAACATGTCAATAGCGTTTTTTTTTTTTTTTTAGGTGACACAAGGCGTACGCGGTCAACGGACGTTTTGGGATCACTGACGAGTTTCGTCTACGTCTACGCCATTCGTACAGTGGCTTCGAAGCAAAAGAGTCATTCGTAGTAAATTCTTCGGGGGAAGTACCCCCTAAATACGCACCCATGACGAACGGTCACGTTTTCAAGTGCGTGCGCTTGTTTATGCTTTGGTTTGCGCTCTCAATGCTTAGGTACTCTTCGCCTGCGGCGCTCTTTCCACGCAAACACCTCGCGACGCAACATGACCATCGTCAAGCATACTTCGATCGTCTGGAGTGGAGCACAGCGGCGGCACTCACTCGCGGATTTGCTAAGCCTACCCGCTTCGGCCCGAACCCGTCACCGGCGAAAAACCGGACGTACTGCCGCCCGACCTCCGTCCTTCAACCTCATGTGTGCTTGATTCTGCTCTGTGCTGGCGATGTACCGCTCAACCCGGGACCGTGTCCTACTTGTCCTCGCTGCTGCAAGCCGCTCTACGACAGCGTGGCGGCGTTACAATGCGACGGGTGCAACATCTGGGTCCACAGGAAATGTGAGCAGCTCTCACTGCCTACCTATCGGCGTCTGTCGAACTGCACAGAACCATGGTACTGCGGCGTGTGCCAGCTGCCATCGTTCGACGACAGCCTTTTCGAAGCGCCGAAGCAGCCTGCACTAACGACGATCGCATCACCTACCACAGCCGGGGACAGACCAACGGCTCCCGGTACCACGGAAACAAGGAAAACAACCTCCTTCTGATTCTCCAACCTCAGGTCCGTGAAGAACAAAATGCTGGAGTTCCGGGTGCTCACTGAGTCCCGCCCCAACACCATATTCGCCTTGTGTGAGACTTGGCTGGACAACTCCATTTACGACAGCCAGCTCGTCGACCTGACACGGTTTAAAGTCTACAGGAAAGATCGTAACAGGTCTGGTGGTGGAGTTCTCGTCGCCATACCGTCGTCAATCACATGCACTAGAAGACACGACCTAGACCGGAACGACCTCGAGGCCATTTTTGTGGACCTTCATTCAAAACAGGACCTTCTACATCTCTGTGTTGCGTACTGTCCCCCCAGCAAGAAAACAGAAAGCTACGATTTGTTACAGTCGTCGCTGTCCTCCGTTACCCTCTCAAAGAAGAAGTACTCCAACGTGCTAGTTGTCGGAGACTTCAATGCGCACATTAATTGGTCAGACTTAAGCTCTCCCAAGCCCACAGGACCATCTGACACTGTCCTCCTCGACCACATAGAAACACTCGGACTTACCCAAGTATGCAGCGAGCCAACTTACGTCACCACCAATAACCAAGTTTCTTTCCTCGACCTCATGTTCGTCTCTAACCCCACACTCGTCTCAAATTGTTTCACAGAACCCAGCCTCACGGGCTCTGACCACAAAGCATTGACTGCGACCACATACCATCATTTGCCTAAATCCGGTCCTCATGGCAGTCGCCTCCATAACTTTGCAAGATTGGACACCAACCACCTGAATTCGCTTATACACCTCGCCCCTTGGGGCATGGTGTTCCAAAACAACCATGAAGACCCATATGACATATGGCTCGACTTTATGCACGCCATCGAAGCTGAATGCGTCCCCTCCAGAAAAAGCCGAAACAAACCCCGAGCGCCCTGGATAACAAAGGAGATACTGCTCCAAGCCCGACGGAAGCGTCAGCTGTTCGCACAAGCAAAGCGAAACAGCTGTCCCTTTACACTTGAGGCAGCCCGCACCCTCCAGAGAAACCTGAAAAAACAGATAAGAAAGTCTCACCAAGATTATGCTTTGGACATGGCACAACGGGCTGTAAGGGATCCAAAGATATTTTGGGCCTATGTAAGGCGTAACAAACAGAACACGTCTGCTCTAAACATATGCCAGGACGGCAAGGCTCTGAGCGACTTGGAGACTGCGGAACTTTTTAGCAAGCACTTCGCCGCAGCATGGACACCACCCTGCAGCCTCTCATCACAACCAGAAACTTGCCCATCATCATCGCAGTCGGCCTCCTCGCCCCGCTTAGCCAGTATCCTTATCAACGAGGATGATGTCAAGGAGGCTCTCACCCGACTGAGTCCTTCACAGTCGCCCGGTCCTGACGGCATCCACCCTGCGCTCCTTAAAGCATCTGGTCAACAACTAGCCCCATTACTGGCCCGACTGTTCCAGCAGCTCTTGGACACTGGGTGCGTCCCCGCCCCATGGAAGCAGGCTTATGTCACTCCCATCTACAAAGGGAATGGATCCCCAGCAGACAAGCCAGAATCCTACAGATCAATCTCAACAACATCAGTCGTCTGCCGTACCATGGAGCGAGTGTTAAACTCTGCCCTACACAGATACTTAAACGCCCACACTCTTCTGTCTCCAGCGCAGCATGGCTTTCGCCCTGGTCGAAGCTGTGAAACTGCCCTGCTCACTGCTGTTCACCAGATCAGTGACAGCCTGGACAACTCCACGCCATGCGAACTGGTACAGCTCGATTTTACCAAAGCGTTTGATAAAGTAGACCACCAGCTCCTGATAACCAAACTGGAAAGCACCGGTATCGAGGGTCCCCTCCTTCGCTGGCTATCTAACTTCATCCTGCAGAGACAACAAAGTGTGACGTTCAACGGGTCAAGGTCCCAATCCCGAACCGTTCAATCTGGAATCCCCCAGGGCACAGTACTTGGTCCAACCCTCTTTTCAATCTTTATCAACGATATCGTCCAGGTTATAGACTCCGCCACCATCATGTACGCTGATGATCTCACCCTCCTTCAACCGATTCAATCCCAGGAAGACTATAAACAACTGCAACAAGATCTTGATCACATCCAAGCCTGGACGATCAGAAACAAATTACCCCTGAGTGCATCAAAATCTGCTACAATTCACTTCACCACAAAAAGGAAAGCACAGAATCCACCAGTAATTTTAACTGTTAATGGAACTCCATTGGAAAAAAAGGAGAACATAACCCTGCTGGGTGTCACCCTTGACAGCAAATTGAGCTTTACTGCACACGTCCACTCCGTCGCCTCACGTGCACGGCGGATGCTGGGATTCGTGCAAACTATCAGTAAGGGTCTGGGGCCTGCTGTGCTGGCGCAGCTGTACACTGCACTGGTCCTGCCCCTATTAGAGTATTGCTCGCCTATCTGGTCGCCACAGGGAGCCTCAGCTCAGGCGACACTAGAGACCATCCAGCGGCGAGCAGCTTACGGCGTCTACTGCCGAACCTCTCCAAGTCCTCGCTTTTTGCCACGGGACATCTCGACAACCCAGCTCTTGAGAGCAGCCAAGTGGAGTACTCTGTCCCGCCGGCGAGATGTAGCCACCCTACGGTTGCTGGCTCAGGTGATTGGTCCTGGGATTTCGCAGGACGACTACCTTCGCTCTGTGCCCCGTCACAACGAACGAACCGGGCGCATAGACCCTCTCTTCGCTCGGACCCAACGGCACGACAACTCATGTCTCCTCCGGGCTGTGAGACTTTGGAGGTCCCTGCCTGACGCCATCATTAGCTTGCCCATCACAGACAGAGACGAGGTGACACAGTTCTGCAAGGCAGCAGCCAAACACCTCTAAACACCCACGATGTCTTGCATACCTCATCATACGTCACCCACCTCACTTTTCACCCTCTTCACCATCCCATCATCATCGTCCCACACTTCTCAAGCCAAGAAGCCTCGCATCGCCATCATCGTCTAGCTGGCCACATAGGCACATATGTGTACGGGCGGAAACGCCTTCTATGCGACCTGTACTTAAATGTACAAATAAATATCTATCTATCTATCTATCTACACTTCGATGCTCTTGTACCGTTATGCCTCATTTACGTAGTGCGATTCTGCTTGCGATTTTCAGTTGCGCGACGTCGAGCACCGCAGCTTAATTTCGTGTATATTTTTAAAGACTTTTAATGCCTTTTAAGGCTAGCCCCCAGTCCCAAAATTTTGTCCGTCTGTCCGTCCGTGCGTTTCCCGATAAATTTAGCGTGGAAATTGATATCACAAGAGTCGAGACCTATACACGAATTCAGTTCCTCAGCTAAAATTGGCGGGAAAATTGATGTCACGTTGCCTGACGTCACGAGACATTAAACCAATTCAGTTTCCCCGCTAAATATAGCCGAAAAATTTACGCCAGGTGACCTATACACCCATTCAGTTTCACCGCTAAATTTGGCGGGAATATGGCGTCACCTGTCGTCCCGTGACCTACAGGTCAACTCAGTTTCTCCGCTAAATCTCTGTTATGTTTCTGTTATCTCTGTTCGGTGCATTCTCAAAGGTGTTTGGAATAATCATACACTCGCGTGTTTCCTATTACTTTCGACATAAATTTAGTAGTGTTCAACGTGGGTTTTTGAAGGGCTTTTTTTATATGGGTTCTCACCTAATCTTCTAAGTTGGTTTCAGACCTACCTGACTGATTGTCAAAGTAGCATTGGATATCGAACAGCTATTCTGATACCTTCATACCATTGTTGTACGGAACGGCGCTCCAAGGAACAGCGTTCCTGGAACGCCGTTCCCTTTTAGGAGGAACGAAGGAACGCCGCAGTTCCATCTTGCATTGGCGGAACTGGAACAGGAACTCGTTACGTTTTCGCAGAAACAGAAAAAAAGAATGGCGTTTTTTTTTTCTTTTCTCTTTTGTCCAGTGAGGTAATTTTTATTTTATTTCGAAAGGGGAACTCTAAAAAAATATAACAACAATTTTTTTTTGCGGAGATTAGTATAATGTTCACTTTTTTTGTTTCTTATTTTAGGGTTTGTTTTGTAGGGTCTTCACTTGGTGACAGTCGGGTGCAGGTGAGCTGGTGAACGTTGATTCTTTTTCCATTGCCCAAAACTGCGTCACAAAAAAAAAAAGAAAAAACTTTTAGGCGAAGGAAAAGACAGAGAAAGAGAGACGTCTCAAACTTAGCTACTTTCTTTGCTTCCACGAATCCTCATAAATCCAGAAATCTAAGGCCGACCACAGCCATCGGTGAACTTACACAAAAATACCTACAATTATGACAGAAGACCAGGTTACCAAGCATCGAACGCACCCTTGTAGCTTGAACATTGGTGACTTGAACAAAACACAATAATTTACCTTTATTGGCTCTCCCCTTTCCCCCCACCTTCAAACTAAAGAACGAATCCGACTTCCATGATGAAGGACTGGTGGTTTTCAAGTCTTACTTTCCAAGAGCTCTACCCTCTTCTTCAATTGCTCGTCTTGCGGACAGCAGCATCGACGAGCAACTGTTGCTAAGTTCAAACAAGGGACTCTCAAATTAAAACGTGCGAGGTTCTTGTAAAACGCTCGTGCAATGTGGGGCAACTTTAATAAAGATAAATGAATTAACCCTGCTCCTCCTTCCCGGCTCACGGTATGTTTGGCTTGTCTGAATCGCCTACCACAAACGGGAACTAGAACGTTGAGATTTTTAAAGGTTGTGCTCTTTTCCCGGTGTCCTTCCATCACGGCATTCATATTCGTATGTTTCCATTTGATGGGATATGTAAAAAGAAGAAAGAAAGCTTTCCTCCATCTAACTAAATATGGTAATTAGCAAAATACAAATGTAACGTATATGTAACTATACGTTACATTTTTTTAAGCTGTAGCGGCAAAGAGTTCCTTTCTCTCAGATGGAACTTGTAACGGGAACGCGTTCGGAAAATCAGAAGGAGCGAGGAACGAGCTTTTGTTCCACTTTTCGAGGAACGTGTACAACGCTGCTTCATACGCACATCTGGGGTACCCCAGGGATCTAATCTAGGGCCCCTCCTACTCCCCTTTCTCGTAAACGACCTTGAAGTGTGCATAAAAGATTCACGCCATTTAATGTTTGCTGATGACATCACATATATATATATATCCTGGCTCCGCCGTTTTTTGGCTTTCGGCGGGTTCCTGGAAACTTGGATTCTTTAATTCATTGGATTAAGTACGGTTCATTCATCTGCACAAATTCGTTTATATATATATATATATATATACGATCGTCATCTGCTTGCATTATTGTACAAGAGGATATTAATCGTGTCTCCGAGCGGTGTTCAGCGAATTTCTTGATCCAGACAAAACAAAACTACTGACAATGTCGCGCGAGATTTTATTCTACCCTTATGCTCTTCAGTCCGCTACAATCACACGTGTCACCATGATTCGTGACCTCGGAATCTATTTCTACACCAAGCTTTCTTTTTCTGGTCATGGTACGCAGACTGTTGCCTCTTCTGTACGAATGCTTGGATTACTCTGTCGCCTGTCATGTGACTTTAGGAATTATTTTTTGCATTTCACGTCCATTTTCCTGCCTTATACGAAGAAAACTTGAGATCATAAAAATATTTTTTTATCTAGGCCGATGTGTACAAGTTACTAAAAAAAAGTAGTTAATTAAGTTACTGAGTATTGACGTCAAAAGTAATTTGAGTAGAGTAAAAATTACTCAAATAGGAAGTAATTGAGAAAATGACTACCGTAAAAAATAGCGAATTTCTTTTGAAGTTACTTTTAATGTTTTTTTTATGGTAAAAAGAAAGTACAGAGGTTTTGATCCGTTAGCGAAATTGTGCCAGGCTAGTATGAATCGGCTTGATTTTTTCACAGAAATGCTTTAACAGCTGGTTCTGCTTCTGCGTGCCTAAATGTTTTGTACTTTCTTGTTTGTTTGGTCAATGATGTACTGCGAACGTGTCATTTATACTTTAAAGTTTAGCACTGTGTCAGCTTGATTTTTAGACAGTGTTTGCTTGTTTACAGTGTTGCGTCAAGTACGCCTAAAAAGTACTTGAAGTACAAAGTAAGTGAGAGGTTATGTAATTTTAAGTAAAGTAGTAAGTACACCCAATGCAATGTACTTGAAGTAACGTATATAAAGACAATATATTTCAAGGTAAAGTACCATCACTTTTAACACAATCTATCATGATGCCCTTTCATTCCCTATACAGTGCTTTTCTTTTTTTTAACTGGCATGCATTGCTCCAGGGGTAATCGGAGGTGCATCAGTTTTTTACGGAAATGGTAGCAAATATTGTGTAAGGTCAAGTCGCCACAGAGTAGTTGCTTTACACTCGCTGACGAGCTATTTGACAGAATCAACTAACAAGGCACTTATTTGTGTCGGTCGTATAGCCGCCATTACTTCACTCAGAGAAATGACCAGATGACGTATCGAAAGAGCGCGTTTTCACACGACGATACGCCATTTTGTTTTTTCAAATTCGGGGAATGGACATTGAAGTCGAAAGTTTTACTTTCCTCGGAAAGTACAAGTGGGTGTTCAGAGAATTTACTTCAAGTACAAGTTTTCTAAACTGTAGTACTTTAAGCACCATGTACACAGAGCACTTCCCAACACAGCTTGCTTGTTATTTATTTTTATTTTTTTATATAAAAACGTTGAGGGAATTACCAAGGTTTCTCGAACGATCTTCGAATCTTTGAAGAGCTGCATATTCTGAGTTTTGGGAGGAAAGGCAACGCTAAAATGTAATCTTGGCGTTGCCC